AACAGTTTTTAGCAGAAAAGTTCAAAATGGAATCAAACTAGTCATCAGTCTACAAGTTTAATGACAGAGTGACTGAATGTTTGATTTACTCAGTGTTACAGATTGAATTGTGTCCCAAAAAAATATGTGTTGTAAATACTAGCCTAAACCTGTGGTTATAATCCCATTTGGGAGTGCATTATCTTTGTTATGTTAATGAGGAAGGATTAGTGTAGAGTATATTTTGAATCAATCTCTTTTGAGATACAAAAAGAGATTAAAGGCAGACTAGCAGCAGCTCAGGTGGCCTAGTGCCTAAGACATATGACTGCTAACCAGAAGGCTGGCTGTTCAAATCCACCAGCCACTCCTCAGAGGAAGATTAGGAAGATTAGGCAATCTAGTTCTATAGTGATACTGCCTCAGAAACCCAAGAAGGGGTCAGTCGAATGGACTCGAGGGCAGTGAGCTTGGTTTTGTTTTTGCTTTTTTTTTAAAACAGCAGAGATGTGGTAAACTAGATCCCGAGATACATGGACATCTCCAAGGAACCAGGAAGCAAAAGCAGAAAAGACAAAGACCTTTCTCCAGAGCCGACAGAGAGAGAAAGTCTTCTCCTAGAGCTGGCACTCTGAATTTGAACTAAACTGTGAGGAAATAGATCTCTGTTTGTTAAAGACATCCACTTGTGGTATTTCTGTTATAGCCCAGCCAATCGTGTTAATAAGCCTAAGAAATAAAATGTTTGGCTCAACCCTCACCAACCTCACCAGTCCAAGAAACCAGATTTTCAAGGACATGCACCTCAATTTGGGAAGCAGAGGAGTTCTGTGGGAAGAGGCTAAGAGAGCACTGACATCCAGCCCCCACATTGCCATTTGCACATTTCTTAGCAAGCAATGGACATGGAGTATACTTACCTAAATCTCCTGAGTCGTGCACAGAGCACCACCGGTGAAGTATCAAACAGACTAATAGAAAAGTTTCTCGGGCTGCTGTGGTGGTGAGAGAATTGAGACATTTTTCAAATTCTCAATTTTTATTCACTGCTTTTATCATCCAACAGAAAATCTCTGCTTAGGGATTTCCTTGTAATCTGGATTATGCGAGGCAGCAGAGAAGGGTCCATGAAGGGAATCTTCACTTTATGAGGTCACTCTTGAGACATTCCAATACCTGTTACTAGCCTGTAGGCCCTTAGGTGAAGGAAGCTCCCCACAGGTCTCACCCACAGATTCTCTCTTCCCAGGGAACTATGAGTGCCTCAGTCCAGCAAAAGGGTGATAAACAGCCAGCAACTGTGAAGCTGAGAGACAAGAGAGCCAAACAAAGCCCCCAGCCCCACCTCAAGAAATGTCCATCTAATGGACAAAGGCCCTTATAATGTGCTAGAATAAGGTGAGTGTCGTACAAGGGGGAAAAGTAAAGTAAAGAGCAAGGCAGCATATTCAAGGTGCAGCACTGGGAACAGGCCTTGAAGGGCAAGGAAAGATTCTGGTGAGTTTGGGCAGGAATGAAAGAAACAGAAGGAGCAGAAGAGGTAACAGGTGCCCTATGCTGGCTAATGGGGGCATGGAATATGCACACACGAACCACCTAAATAGAGTGTAAGGGATGAGTCCATGAGGTGAAGATGTTTTAAATATAAGAGCAACAGATTTTTGCTCTGTACAACTTTCAGGATTGCTAAAGTCTCCTCCCTCTCCTTCTCCTAACCCCTTTCATTTTCAAGGCAATTCAAGACAGAGGGATCTAGGTAGGCTGATGTTGTATTAAATGTTTAGCAGCTAAACTGGTCAATTTCCTGGAAACCTAAGCTCTTGGCCATAAGAAAAGGAGATAACCACTGCTTTCACCCGTGCTGCCCCCAGTATTCTAAAACAAGTATATATGCTCTGCATACTAGCAAAGGATGGAAAAAACCTAAGTACCCGTTAACAGATGAATGGCTAACCAATCTATGGCTCATACACACAAAGCAACACTGGAGAATAATGAAGAACCCACAAATCACCTCATAATGTGCATGAACTTGGAGGACATTACGCTGAGTGAAGTAAATCAGCCACAGAAAGACAAAGATTGTATGAGTTTACATTATAAAAAGTTAAGGAAAGGTTTACACAGGAAAGGAAATTATCTTTGTAGGTTACCAGACATGGAAGGAGAAAGAAGGGCAAAGTGCTGGTTAGTTAAGAGACATTTGTTAATTTTGATAAAGGGAAAGGCAATATAACAAAGTGTTTGACTAGTATATATCACTAAGGAAAAAGATGTGAGAAGTTCACTAGAGGTACAGACAACAAAGATAAATACCATTGAATACATAACCCTCCATTATCAGTAATGACGAATGCTAATCCACAGGTGGATACATAGAAGACAGGCAAAAAGATCAGATATGGGTAGGTGACTGGGAATAAACCCATGACCATACATAGGTTTGACAGATGATACTCACATATATGTATTTGTATATGCTATAAAAATGCCCATATATGTTACAGAGCTAACAGAGGACAAAGTTAGGATAACTTCTCAGCCACAACTAAGTACCTTCAGGAAGTGAGTCTCTGAGCCTCCAGGCTTGGGGCCATGGTCACAGGGATATCAACTCAATTGCCACAGTACAGTACACAAAATCATTGTTCTGCATCCTACCTTGATGAGGAGTGACTGGGGTCCTAAAAGCTTGCGAGCAGCTATCTAAGAAGCAACTGTTGCTCTCTCCTCATCCAGAGCAAAGAAGACTGAAGAAAATCAAAGATACATGAAAACTATTAGTTCAAAGGACTAATGGTCCATGGGAACCTCAGCCTACATGACTCTGAGACCAACAGAACTAGATGGTGCACAGTTACCAATGTCAACCACTCTGAAAGGGATCAAAATTGGAGATCCTGGATAGAGTGGATGAAAAAAGTGTGGAACAAAATTCAAAAACATGAAAAACACCAGGATTACTGGTCAGAAACCAAACCAAAACCAAACCCACTGCCATCGAGTCAATTCTGACACACAGCAACCCCCACTGGGTTTCTAAGACACTAAATCTTTACAGAACTAGATTGCCCAGTCTTTGTTCCTCGGAGTGGCTGTTGGGTTTGAACCACCAAACTTCTGGTTAGTAGTCAAATGCCTTAAGCGCTGCTCCACCAGAGCTTCTTCTTACTGGTCAGATAGAGACTGGTAAAAACCCCTGAGACTATGGCCCTAGTAACACTTGGAACTGGACTCACTCCTGCAGCTTAACTCAGCCAAACATCAAAGAGGCCTGTGGGTGGAACAACTACAACAGGGAGATGCACTCATTAGAACAATCAACTACTACAGGAGATAAGAAGGGCAGCAATTGCAGAAAGCTAGGGGAGGAAAACTGGAATGTATATGTAAGAAGGACACAGGGA